ATCCATCGAACGGCTACCAGTCAAAGGCTGAAATCACAATACGCGTTGGTCCGGTTGACGAAGTCGACTCGCTGGGAAAGCAAATAGAACGGGACGGACAGAGAACTCCGAGCTGGGGGATGCGCGCCATCGGGGGCGCCGGAAATGGGGGAATGGGCAATGGTCATTGCCTTTGAATTGGAAATTACGTTTCGGACGGTCAAGTGACGATTTTCGACACCCTGCGTCGCAGGGTTGCGTCTCCTTTGGCACCTTGATCGAGACACCAAACCTTCTGTAAGGGATGTAGACTTAGAATTATTGATTTCTCTAGAATTGAACAAAATTATTTGTTATCACCAAATATTCACTAAAACAGCCTCTAAGTTTCATAAAGATATGATTTATTTTCAACGTCCTTCCCCAAGGAAGTAATCGATTCTCGCAATAATATTTCCCCCGAGCAACCCTTAGCAAACTCTTCGCTTGTCAACTAAGGACCAACTCGTAGCTCGCGAGTGGCACCAGGGGTCTGTCTGGGAGCGATTTCGCGGCCCCGCGGAGCGCGAGATCCGCTTTTCGCGCGCAGACCTCCCCCTGGAAAAGGAACGCAACCCTCTGCCACGAGGGGGCGGCCGTTTCCCAGCCAGTCGAATGATTTAATCCCCCGAATGATGGACGGGCACGTCGCGACGATGATCTGCGTGCCGTGAAGTGACAAGTGGTTAGGATCACGGGGAAACCTCGGTGGCGGATGACGGTGGTAGCTGATGGCGGCCGACCGTCGGTGGTCGAGGTCGGTGGTGTCGTATCGGTGACGGGACCCAGGCTGCCTGTGGATAGATTTGAGGACGAGAGGGTGACGGAGGACGGCGGTGCGTGCTCGCACCGTACAAATCACGCGGGCATTACTGCGTCAAGCGTGGACTCAACGTGTCGCGCGAGCGGAACACTCGATGCCGACGGTAATGCTGATTTATCGGAAGCAAGCGATGGACGCGCGAGCGTGTTGCTGTATCCCGAGCCTGTTGGACGGTACCCCGGCGTTGTTATTTGTTATAAACTTCGATGGTACAAGAACTGTAGGAGTCTAAACGAAAAATGAGCCACGATCTTCGGATTGACAGTCGACCGTTTTGCCTATACGATCAACGTCCTACGCAACGCTTAAGATTACAGTTCGAAAGGGATGTCGCGTCGCGATTAATCGGTCTTGACTATTGCCATGAAATGACATCAGAAATGCACCTGTGAGTCTTTAAGCGAGGTCAGAGTCGCGTTTCGCTCGGCCTAACGTTAACGATACTCGAATATTTGAATTCTCCTACCTTTCGAGATGTTTGACGATATCCTCGTAGGCTGCTCGGCAGTTCTCCCAAACCGTCCCGGACCTGTGGATCAGAAAAGCGATGGTGAGATGTAAATAGAGCAAGAGACCCGTCAGTCACGGGGAAAAGAAATCTAAGGGGGATGATTTCCAATCCTGCAATCCTTACTCGAATGGCCAGAAAAAGTCTGGGACGGGGGTTGATAACCGAATCGGTTAATTATAAGCCCTGCGACGGGATATCCCCGAGGAAAGTGGATCCGCGGGGTTGATTAAGAGTCCTCCTCTCGTTCCGTCTCGTCTTTCGTTTGTCCTTTGACTCGCCCGTGCCTGTCCCGACTCTCGAGGACGAAGACGCCGAGGACGGGGCTTTGAAGTCGCTGATTAAAAAAGACGTCGCCTGGCTCCCGTGCTCACGGCTAATTTACTCGACGCGTATCGACCGTCGAAAACGCTTCCACCATCGGAGTACGCGTCGAACCGAAAGAAACGAGAAAAACGGAATCCAGGGACGTCCGCGATTAGGGGTGGATCGACGGCGGACGTCGCGACCTCGAGCAGGAAGGAAGTACGCGAGGCAGAGGCTCGCAGGTCGCGCGTTCGACGAGGAGCCCTTGCTCGGGGCTGAATTAGAGGGTGGCGATAGGGCAGCGGTGACGGCGGTGCGCCAGGATGGGGTTGCGTTGAATTAATCATATTCCGGTGTTTGTCGTGCCGCCCCCAGACGTAATCCGTCTTACCTTCCGATCTCTCTCGCTCTTCTCTGCCACGATAGATTTGCATTTTAATTAAAAGCAAAGCGCTGAAATCATAATGCGAAACGTGCGGCGCCGCCTTCGTCGCGTCGTTGCGCGTGCACGTAGACGCCGAGACGCGGAAGGACCCGGTCCCTGCTCCGCCATTCCCCCCCCCCCCCCCCCCCCCCCAGGCCGGTAAGAAGAATCGACGACGCGATTCCAACGTCGACGACGCTTTGTGTTCCCTCGTCAGAATTTTCTAAACGCGGACCGACGCCGACGTCGCGATGCGTTGGATAACGCGAGAGAACGAGGAGAAAGCGGACTGACGGCGATCCAGAGTAATTGGCGAGAATACTCAGATATCTTCGAACATTCAGGACTATTTACTTGGAGAAATTTGTAAACAATCATGTTAAAATAGAAATACCAAGTGTGAGACTCGTAATAGGGCCTGCTAATTACTGTAGGCCGGTAGGGTTTCCCGCCTACAGCATCTATTAGAAACGCGTTAACAAATGCCAGGATTAGCTCCAGTCTCTACCCTTCTCCGAAGAACATCCTCCTTCAACGACTCGTGGAACCCCTGGCTCTGTTTCTCCCAGTCGGTGCCTCAGAACGCGGAACGACTCAGCCGAGAGCTTTAATCCGCGATATACGTCTTCGGACCGCAACGCCTCGAGGATTTACCGGTTCCCGAGAACTCTTTAAGCTCTAAAGTTTATTGGAGTTTATTTGGATCGTTTTAATCTCACATTCAATTCAATGTCAAACGAGGAGTTGGGCGCACTTATCGTAATTTTTGCATGGTGCAAAGTCGTCGGAATTGCTTCGCGAAAGGTGAATCGTGGATGTCGACGTCGCGACACGCGGAAGAGGATCGGCTCGGTTGAGGTCGCACGTAACTCGAGCCGAGTAAACGACCTAGAAGGAACGCGACGCGCCCAAGGAAACGGACTTTGTCGCTACCGGCCAGAGAACGAGGAGGGAAGGAAAGATCAAGCAGTGTCGAGACCCCTTGGATTTCCACGGCTTCGCCGTCTCTTCAAATCCTCTTAAAGTTGTATTCTTTTGGCCTCGCTGGCCCTTCGTTGCGACCACCCCGGACAGGACGAGGCGTGACTGCCTCCGCGGAAGAGCTCCAAACGAGCAAATCCAATTTCCCAATCCGACTCCCATACCGTTTATCCTGAAAAGTCCCTGCTGTTTGTCGATCGACATCATTCAAGCTGCTTGGTGCAAGGGTAAAAAGTAATTGGAGACGCTCTGTCTTCTGCGAAGTCGTCAATTATGAGAGTATCGAATAGGAATTTTCAGATAATTCCCGTCACAGAATAGCAATTTACGACGAGGCTTTCGTGAAAGACCGAAGTAACGTGCCTTGCACGTGTTTCGTATTAAAATGTGTATATTTTCAAAGTTGAGCTGCACTTGCAACGCGGTGAAAGCTTTCTTTACTTAGTGAACGCGATCGAGATCAACTAATAATTCTCCCCGATCTCTGACGTAAAATATCCACCAAGCTTACCTCGCGAGAGCCTCCATGTTGGACATGTTCGGGTTGACTTTCAATCCCTGCTCGGCGCGCGCCTGAGCCTGTGCCTGCAGGTGATGAGGCAGACTAGCCGGCGACAGGATGGCGGTGTGTCCCGCGCCAGGATGTCCACCCAGTTGCATGAACTGCATGTGACTGAGATGCGTGGGCGGGTGATTGTAGCCGTTCGCCAACAACGGAGACTTCTCCATCCTCGGCACGTCTGAAAGCAAAAAGGGAATCGTACGATGTAGCGAACGTTCCAGTCGAGGGAGCTAACGATGGCGAACCGGGCGCTCGTGTGCCCGCGACAAATACCGTGGGCATATTTGCTCGATTCGACCGACAGCTACGTGGATTTTCGGTGTTTCGAGGTTCCCTAGGGCGATATATCTTCGTCAACGGTCTGAGCTGTTAGGGGTAGCGATTGGTCGCGGACAAATATCTGTTCGCGACGCGACGTCTCTCTGAGTTTGGGATAGCTTGGTTATTGGAACGGGTAGTTTGATAAGCAGATACTATTTTGAGTTTCCCACAGAAATTACAATAGAAATGATACAGTTCTTACGGATTGAAGTTTTCTTCGAGATCGTTCAGTCCCGAGTTAGCAATAATATTACGAATGCATAGCTGGTGTCATCTGGTGTCCACCAAATCAAGACGATACCCGATTATGTAATGAAATCTCAAAACATTGATTCCACGTACGTTCCAATAGATGAAACTAGAATGACGTTAACGAATGAATTCTTTGCTTCTTAGCCTCCACGAGTAATCTGCATCCCTATCCGTCTGTCTGTCCCTATCAAGGCCAGACCCACTCCGAGACAGCTCCGCCGCGAAAACAAACACCTCCCGAGGCCAAGCTCGCGACGTTGAAACCCATAAAGAAGAAGCCCTCCAGACCTGGCGCGGCGAGGCAGCTCGAGATTGTAACCCACGAGAACATTGTCCCTCGGATCGGAGATTCGCGAGAGATCGGGCCGAGAGGCTCTGTAATCGTTTCGGGATTCCATTCGTGCAAGGATGACGCGTTGGACGATGCTATTGCGAGACTGAGATTGGGAGGATCGAACGCAACGGGAGACAGAAAGGGGTGAGGGCCGGAGACGGTGCACGGGGGCTGGCAGAGGGGCGAGGGGATAGAAAATGAGCGGTGCCTATTTATTACAAATTATCTAAATGGCAGTGATTTCGGCGGACCGGCTGGCCGTTTGACGAGTAAGTGGCGGGTTTGCTGGCCAGTGACTGTCGGTCCCCCCGCGACGACCCCGATACTCGTAAAACCGCAGCCAGGGGGAGCCTTCGAGCGGTTTGACAACCGCTGCGAGACCCGGCCCATGACCGGCCCTAAAATTGGACTTATTACAACTTATAGAGCGCGATTTGAACGCTCCGCTCAATAACATACATTATCCCCAATCCATATGATTTAATGAAATCCCTCTAAACTCTCCACTTAGCCTCAGTACCTTCTCGCGCGGGTACCCTTCCCTCTGTCTCGCCTGCGTATGCGCCCTCTCGCAGATTGCTACGTGTGTACGAAGAGAAGCCCGTGAGCGAGTCGCGGTAAGAGCGAGAGAGCGATCGACAACCGTGGAGAAGAGGGGAAGCGAAAGGGCCTCGCGAAACCGAGCGGAGAGAGTCGGCCCGGCACGTTCCGATCGTCGAGGATACTTAAAACGCGCGTTCCCAGATTTTTATAACCTCGACAATAGCTATTTGCGCAGGTCGCGATCTTCACGACCGATGAAGACGTTTCGAGGCGACCTCGGTGATCGGGATCGCGATCTGGCAGCCAAAAGTCGTGGTGGAAAACGAAGGGCATCGATGTCGAGACTCGAGTCGACACCTCAGGATTCGTTGGACTGGTATTTCAGTATTTCACTAGTACTTCCCTTTATTCGTTCTTTCTCATCCGATAGAAGTCTAGGCGAATTCAGGGGAGAGGGGAGATTTGCTAAGAACGGTTGGCCCTATCCCATGGACGTCGCGAGAAGCGAACGCGACGGGCGATAAAACACAATTTGAGCTAAAGACCGCGCTCCTATAACTTCCCACCCATGGGTCCGCGCGCGGACGGGCACCGCCACCTCCTCGCCCCTCTCGTGGCTGATGAGGTGACAACCCATAATTATACAGACCGCTTTCTGTCTGGCCTGACTGCAGTGGCATGCGGAGAGAGGCCTCCATCATCCTCCTCCTCGTCGTCCTCACCTCTCCACCTTTTTCTCCGTCTCCATCCAACTTCTCGAGCCCTACCGACCGCGTGTCCCTCTTCCACTTCGCCTCCCTCGCTCCTCCGTATCTGCGGATCTCACTTTTTCTCTCGTTACCCTTCATCCCCGCCCCCTCGTCCACGGGTTTCTCATCCACGGCTCGGGGTATCCAGAGCGGGTTCCCGACTTCCCGCTTAATAACGATACGCGTGTTTTCTTCCTCGCATGGCGAACGGCCCGGACGAAGGTGGAGTAGCGAAATCGAGGCAGACCGCGAGGGAACCGGAGAAAGAAGCGAGGGATCGGCCACCGACCCGTGGACACCTCCACCCTCGTGCGTCTCGCGCCCGTAGAAACGACCGATCTGCGCTACTTCTTTTCTGGTGTTAATTACAAAACGCGAGAATAAATTGCCAGGGCTAAATGAGCTTTCCTCTGGCCCTCCTCAACCTCGTTCCCCGACACTCGCGACGGACATGTAGCGCATAGGGCTAAGGGAAGAGGTTCCAGGAACTGGAGCCCCACTCTGACGAGTCGGTGGCTACTTTTATTGAATGCCGTTGCAATCGAGGCGGAAAGAGGTGGAGGAGTTCCCCTCGACGGAGATCAAGCGGATTCTTTCGTTTGATGTGGCTTGATGCGTTCGATGCCTTATCGCGGAATGAGGAGGCGTAGTTGCGTTCTTGACGAGCGTATCGGTAGTACCGTCAGGTATTTGGACGTCTACTTTCGGATATGGTTACTTCCTCGTGGTTAGTACGCAACCGTTATATCAGATCTCCCGATAAAGTCGTTAAGAAACGTTTGGTGCAGACTGTAGTGTCATTTCGTCACCGTAATAACTAGAAAAGCGCGTCTCCAGCCATCGGAACTTTACTGGGAGGACGATGGGCTGGAAAACCGCGAGTGCATCCTTCGATCTTCGCCCTGAGCAGAATCGATGGGGACTCTTGCTCCTTTGTACTTCTTTTCGCCAGCAAAGACGGAGAAACGGCATCGCTGCTCGCTCGGGCGACCACCGAGACGTGGTCAACGTGAAATTATTTGGAAAATTTGCCCTTTGTCCGAGGGATGCTTCCCGGGGGTCTCTCTCCCTGCCATTGTTCTTAGCAAACGACGAAGAAATCGACCGACCACCGCTCGTCTCTGGTCGCGCGCGTTATTTGCGCTTAGCTATGTATATGTTTACCCTCGACACTGACTCCCTCGAAAACCCTTGGATTTAACCCTCGAACACCGACCCTCCGACCACGGACGATGACATCGCGGCCCTTTAAGTACCGTAGGAGTCGAGGAAAAAGAAGGGTACACGCTGGAAATCGGAATTGTGACCTCTGAATCGAGTAACAGTCGCTCTTGCATCGAGTTATCGAGGGGTGGGTTCTATCCTAGCGTTGCGGGCTCCTTTTCTGTTCAGACAGAGTACAGTAGCCTAACATAGTGATTACTTATTATAGTAAAGCTTGACCTTTCAAAAGAAAGTACCCCTATCTCCCCACAAAGATACACTTCAGCACTCGCGACACCCCGTTGTCCCACTTCTTTTTCTTCCTGCTTCCTCCAGGACGCGTTTTCCTCGGGCTTCCTCGTGTCGCTTCGATTCCCGATCCATCTCAGCGCTCCGTTAGCCTGTATCCCGTGCACGTGCATCCGACATTGTTCCCCGGCGTGTATTGGTACATAAACACGAGACGGGAAACACAGTTTCGCGCAGGAGGAATCCGGTTTTTCAAGTAATCGAGAGAGTCGAGGAGGCTCGCTGCTAGCAGCCCCGGCCAAGGCAAAGCGGGCAGACAAGCAGGCGGGCAGCCATCGAGGCAGCTCCCTGCGTCCAGTCTGGAAAGAATCGAGGAGAGAGTGGATGCCATGGGTATGTACACCTCCTCGCTCCTCCTTCGTTCGCTGGTTCTTCTTTCCTTGCTTTCCTCTTTTACCACACCCATTCTTCTTAATCGCCCCGGCTAGTATCGCCGCGTATTGAGACGTACGCGCCTGTCTCCGCTGCGCGATGCTCGCTTTATCATTCGACGATATTCGCGACCGACGATAGGATTTTACTTTTCAGATGCGATGTGGACAGGTTGAAGAGATCTAGAGTTATTCCGGGGCACATGAAGATTTAACCCTTTGCAGACTAAATTTTCTGATTTCAGTGGATTTTTGTCGGGCCTCGCTAAACAGCTAATAGCTACAATAATCAATGTAAAACAGATTACATGTCCTTATAAAATAAAGAAACAAAAAATATCACGAAGGTAGCTCCTGTTCTCGTACGCGTACTCGCTGTCGAACGCCACCATATCGCCATACCACGCTGCGTCTCCTACTCTTTTAATATTCGCTGCGTCGTTAATTTCTACCAGCTTCTTGCCGCATCCTGAAGAAAGTAACGAACCAGCGCATAGAAAATGATCAACTTAGATTGGTTCTACTCGCTAGGGCGATGGAATCCTGTTCTGTTTGCAAGAGCAAACAAAGAGGAGGAACGGAAGCTCCGGTAGAATATTAAGACGTAGCTGGCGATTGAAGGAGGGCGAGGAGAAATAAGATACGGTCGATCTTTCTCGCGGAGCCTCGTAATCGACGACAACGCGAAGCGTCTAGCCACCTCTCGGTGGACCCCTCTTGCTCCGAGGAACAGCCCCTCGCGAGTTCTTGTCTCTGGAGTCCCTTCTTTCGAAGAGCCTCACCTACCACGCGTCGCCTCGCGAAAGAGCAGCCCAGTATTTGTTCTTCCAAGGGTCTCCTCGGGTGTTCGCATCATCCGAGAGCAGTAAACCTTTTGATATATAGTCGAAGGTTTTTAGAGTTCTGTCAGCCACGCCCACAATCAGCCTTAGTATTATTTACACTCCTGGTGGTTTGTAGTCGGTTGTCTCGCTCCTTCGTCCCCCGTCGCCTCTCCCCTTTGAAAGCCACGCTTTTTTACTCGTTTCGCGTGCTCTTCTTGCCGGAGCGGTTGTCCGACTCGTCTCTTCGGCACCGTCATCGTCGAATCCCCGTT